TTCAAAGGAATAAAGTTGAATGGAATTTAATTGAATTAAAGTTGAATAAACTTCAACTTTACTGTTCAGTGCACTGATATCAGACTCATTTTGGATAATAAAGTTTGTTAAATTGTTAAATGCCCTGCCTCCATTACGTATCTTTGTCACGTCATTATAAGTGTTTGATCACCACATTTGAGTGATCATTGCAAATAATGTGTTTATGTATATATATATTCTGTTTGTTTATATACTGTATTCTATATATAGTACCAGTCAAATGTTTGGACCCTCGAATGGGAAAATGTCCAAACTTTTGACTGGTACTGTACTATAATATACACAAAGAATATCGGCCGATATATCGATATCAGCCTCTTTTTTTTTACTCCCTAATAGGTCCCAAAAAACCCATATCGGTCGGGCTCTAGTTTTAGTTTCTAATTTTTTTGATGATATAATTATGCTTCTACTCCAATCCGCTGTTGAAATATAAACATTTAAATAGTAGCTGTACTAAAAACTTGTTTTCATGATGACAGATTTATTCAACCATACATTCAATTCCATTATGCTCAATGGTTTTGCCTCTCTGAATCCATTTTTTTCCTGGCCAAATATGTTTGGTTGCCAAAATTTCAGTGCATCAGCTATTCATACTGATTTTACACAATAGTTTTGCTGTATTTGTGAGGGCCAAACTTTTAAATGCTTTATAAAAGGACTAAATGTCCAGGTTCAATGTATAAAGCATCATTCTAGCTAAAGCTTACATAAAATAATTCAGATTAGTTCCTCAGTTTGTAACAAAAATGTTGTCAATAATCCTTAAAGGTGCAGTCACATTTACAATTGTTTGATGTATTTTCGCGAACAAAATCTAGTTATTTCAACTGGAATCCACGCAATTTGGAATTTCGCATGACAACAGACTTTTTTCGCTTGAGAAAAAGTGATCGCACCTTAACTCTGAAACTATAAGAAAAAAATATTGAAATAATTTCTGCCTCAAATTTTTTGAACAAAACGACACGAGAAAAAAAAATCACATCACGATTACTTATTTTAATATATGGGCAGTCCTAGTTTCTGTCGATCAATGGATGTTGACTGACATTTTCGGTTTCCGAGATTTTCTGTTTCAGTGGGCGGAGCATACATGAATATTCATGAGTTTCCCGGACAAACGCGTGGAACTGAGAATTTCAGTTCACGCTCCTCGTATCTCAGCAGGTTTAATGGTATATTTTAAAAAAGGTAAATATTTTACAGCGTTGCACAAACCTATGCCTAAACTACATTTGTTCATCATTTTGTAACCGTTAAATTAAAGTGTAATGTTTTCATTAGTTTGCACGTTTTGTGCAGTCGTGACTGACTGAATGATTGCAGACATTCAGCACACTTAATCTAGCTGTAGCCTAACTTACTTTGATTTCAGTTTGTTGTGCTGTAGCTTGCAATGCTTTAAAAATGTGTATGTTGTTAGCTGTTTTCATTTAAATACAACAGCTGAAATAAACTTGTATTTGTGGATCGTTTTTCATCTATCGTGGTGTTCTTAAACTGTTAGGCTTAGGCTGTATTTACAAAATGAATAGGAATCTAAGACCACACACACAAGCATGTGGGCGGAGCATACATGAATATTCATGAGTTTCCCGGACAAACGCGTGGAACTGAGAATTTCAGTTCACGCTCCTCGTATCTCAGCAGGTTTAATGGTATATTTTAAAAAAGGTAAATATTTTACAGCGTTGCACAAACCTATGCCTAAACTACATTTGTTCATCATTTTGTAACCGTTAAATTAAAGTGTAATGTTTTCATTAGTTTGCACGTTTTGTGCAGTCGTGACTGACTGAATGATTGCAGACATTCAGCACACTTAATCTAGCTGTAGCCTAACTTACTTTGATTTCAGTTTGTTGTGCTGTAGCTTGCAATGCTTTAAAAATGTGTATGTTGTTAGCTGTTTTCATTTAAATACAACAGCTGAAATAAACTTGTATTTGTGGATCGTTTTTCATCTATCGTGGTGTTCTTAAACTGTTAGGCTTAGGCTGTATTTACAAAATGAATAGGAATCTAAGACCACACACACAAGCATGAAAGTGTTCCTTTAATAAGTAACATTTTGGATTAAACAAAATTGTATGGACAAAAGTTTAAAAAGTAGCCTATATTTGGTACACTGTAAATGAGAAAACAAATACTTCACTGCATTTTATGGAATGGAATAAGAAACTAATTTCATTAACAAATGTTCATAAGTGTGCTTCTGCTTGTTTTGATATGATATATAAAATACTGTTCTAATGATTTTTATTATAAGGTTCTTTGTTCATGTCACCAACTGCATCAGATAAAAAATATTAAAAAACATTAATATTGTGGAATCATTTTACAATTTAAAAAAAAGTTTTTTTTTTCCCCCTGTGATGTCAGATCTCAACTTCTCTTCAGTGTCTCATGATCTTTCATAAATCATTCTAATATGCTGATTTGCTGCACAAGAATCATTTCTGATTACTATCAATGTTGAAAATGGTTGTACTGCTTAATGAAGTGTGGAAACATTATACAGCGACAGGATTCCTTGATGAATGGAAAGTTCAGAAGAACAGCATTTATTTGAAATATAAATCTTTTATTTTTTTTACATTATAAATGTCTTTACTGTCATTTTTATTAAATTAATGCATCCTTGAAGAGCAAAAATATACATTTCTTAAAAATAAAAAAAATCCTAAACTTTTGAATGGTAATGTCATGTATCAAACGCCAGAATCAAGTGAATAATTGTTTTTTTTTTTAGCTTTATGTCAAATTTTTATACAGCAGATTCTACAAGGACGTTAACATCACACTCTCTTGTCTCCTATGTTGTCTTGTTTTGGTGCATAAATCTCTTTAGTTTGTAACAAGGATTCAATAGTGATTCATGCTCAATTCAAGAAAACTTTACTTTATTAATCGCATTCACCATGACTAAAATTTTCCTGGATTTTGAGTGTGAATCACTATTGAATTCATATTTTAAAAACAAAATGTCACTGTCTTACATAATAGCAAACATTCACACATTTTACAAACATCTCATCAAAAGCTAATCAAGGCCACAATCCAATCTTTATTCCACTTTATTTTTTATATTTTTAGAGGCCCTTTTTATTTATTTAGTCATTTAGCAGACGCTTGGCTTTACACATACATACACAACAAAAAGAAAACAAGTAGATAGAATAGAAAAAGAATAGAGAAAGCTAGAGTTAGAGGCCTTTTTTTTAAGAAAACAAGCAGTTGGAAAACGAATACAGAGTGCAAGTGTTAGAGGGTCAAATATATAATAATAATAATAAAAGATGGCTAAG